TTTTCGGGTAAGAGTAGGAGTGCACTAAGGTTTTGCTTTAAGCCCTTACTTGTTCTCTATAGTGATGGATGAAATTATTGAGAAATACAAGAAGAGGTGACGTGGTTGCATGTTGTTTGCTGACGATATAGTGTTAACAGGAGAACATATGGAGGAAATTAATCAAAGGATAGAGGTATGGAGATCAGCCCTTGAAGAAAAGGGTTTAAAAATAAGTAGAAGTAAGACAGAGTATATAGAGAACGAGTTTGACAAAGGAGAACACGAGGTAGTTGAAATGAGGAGGTCAGTGACAATAGACGAGGACGTAATTGGAGAGGTGGAGAGTTTTAAGTATTTAGGGTTAGTTGTGCAAAAGGGAGGTGGTATTGACGAGGATGTAAGACACAGAATTAAGTGCAGGTGGTTGAAGTGGAGAGAAGCGTCTGGCGTTTTATGCGATAAAAGAATTCCAATGAGGCTGCAAGGTAAATTCTACAAGACTGTAGTGAGGCCAACTATGATGTATGGTTCAGAGTGTTGGGTGGTAGATAAGAAAGTAGAGCAGAGAATGGCTGTAGAACTCATAGTATAATAAATATATAATATAATTAAATTAAGTTGGTAATTGATTGTCATATTTTAAATGTTTTTTAGATATTTAGATATATTTTAGCTTCAATGCGAATTGAGAAGGTATTAATTTTACTACGATTTTTTTTTTATTTCGATACTTTATCTAAGCATTCACTGGACCAATTTTTTTCAATGATACGTCAGATGATCACAAATCGTATATAGTGGAAGACGCAAATTCCCAACAAATTACGATCTTTAAAATCAGTAAATTTTGATATTTTTTTCACTTTTTTTCTTAAAATTGCCATAACTTTTCAAAAATGAACAAATCAAAATCATTTTATTTTATATAGAAATCATAGATATGATATTATTTTTTTGAAATTCTAACACTTTAACTACTCTCAGGGGAGAATATAAATAGCAAATTTTCTACAAATATTAATTTTTTCGGCTTAACTTTTGAAAATGTTCCGGAAATAATGCGTTTTTTAATCATATATCAAATTAAAGCTTATGTTACGTACTATATGTTAAAATAAGATCTGAAGCAATTGGAATCAGAATCAAAATTCCATAGAAAAAAGTCCTTAATATTGTTGAAAGTAGAATGGTTGTGCTATCTATTATCATATCTTTAAAATATATAATGTTTTTTCAAAATAAAATAGTAAAACATAAGATTGAATAAATGACCAGACTTCTGGTTATTATTCTGAAAAATTAATTATTTTTAGTTTACCTGCCACGCGTAAATGCGATATGCCACTTATTGTATGATATATGAACTATATCAGAAACTTTCGTGGAAATATACTTAAAAACTTCTGAAAGTTTTATGACGATTGTATTAATCATGTAGTAATGTATAAAGGAGAGACAGACATACAGTCATTTATATGTATATATATGTAAAATAATTAATAAAAAAAATATTAGTTAGCCATAGATTTTGTTATCCTAATCTAGAGCGATAGCCAATAAAGAAAAAATACAGATTTGCATTCTCTTTCCGATAGGCGATTCTAATATTATTTTGTATTAAAGTGTGGATCTCCATTTTCTTCGCAATGTGACTTTGTGTCACTGTTAGAAAAAACTAGAAAATCCAATTTCCAACTTTGTGAAACGCACTTTATATGTAAGTTAAGTCGAGTACCTGAAAATACACAGCCTACGGTCTACATTTTTTTTTACTTAAAACTCTTATCTATAACTATATCAAAATCAAAAGTTGAAATATCTCTATCAAAACTTCGTAATTTTAGCAATACAAGATCAGAAATTTTCAAAATGTAACATTATTCAAATTATCTCATTTATTGTAATTTTAGAAATTACTTTGTTTAACAAATATTTTTAAGAATAAAGTAATCAAGAACAAAACTATTTGAATGTTTTATACATTTAAACATTTTTTTTCGAGAGAGAGAAACTCAAAATTTTAACTTTATTATATTTATATTATTATTGATAGTTTATACTCATTTATTTTTTTAGTAAAATTGTTTACAGTCAAGTTTATATTAAGTTATTGTGTGGCCTTGGGTTTAAAATTAAATGAGGCAAAATTTATGATACTAAAAGTATTATATGTGTCATTCAAGCTTCATATTTCATCCTATACTTTGACAAAGAATTTCAAAGATCAGGGCTATTAACCTTTTTTAATCCCGACTAGAATGAAATATCCAATTTACAAAAATATTATTAGAATCCAGATTGTGTGTTTTTAAAAAAATTTTTGTTAAGTTATTCTAAACACCATCATCCAGCAAAAATTTGTATTAATTGATTTGAAAACTTAGTAATGTGTTGCTACCGAATTTATGTATGTTGTAGAGTTCATCCCTCCTAAAAAGAAAAATATTTCAATATTGTTATATTGAAATAATTTTTCCAAAAAGTATCTTATACAACAAAGTTGTTCAAACTTGGGACCTGTTTAATCGATTTCAAAATTTACACACTCTTATAATTCTGGGCTAATTATAATTATATTTTATTTTACATTGGAAATAATATTATAACTTATTAGCATTTTAAATGCATTTGGAGACTTTCTGAATATGGCAAATTCTTTATATTTTTATAATTTGTTAAACTCATGATAATAATAAAATAAAACAAAGTATACTTACTAAAATGATAATATAAAAACGAAAATAAAAACTCTAAGGCAAATAGTACTTAAAATTAAAATTATATTAAAAATATTAATTAAAAACTAAAAAACTACACGACAATAAATTCGATGGAAAACTTTTTGAATATCAGTAGTCGTTCAAATGGATAAAATAACTTAGGGATCGTAAAAATTGTCATACTTAAAATACTATTCAACTAACAGTTAATATTACTTTGTTATTCGTTCTTTATCTTTGAAAGATAAAAATGTTGTATATTATCCTAATTATGTACCTTTTCGTTTCACGTATTATACTACTAGGTAACTTGAAGCTATTCTCTACTCTAAAAAAAAATAACATCGAATTGTATTTAATGGAGTCACATGTCACTATAAGACATGTATAGTAGTAAACTAGTTGCGTGCTCATTTTTTTAAGTATACGGATATAAGACAAATTCATAGATATACTTTAAGTATATTATTTTTGTCGAATAATTGAACACGGTGGTTTTTTTTTTACTATGTATAATGTTTTATTATTATGTATAACATAAGTTAAATATTCACAATTCATTTTGATTATTTTTAATATATGACTTTTATAACGGAAAAAATAGAGCAAAACTTGAAAAAATAATATTATCGGCGAAACAAAATAAACCAATATTCTACTAGTGTATTATTTAATTATAAATTAATTTTCGCAAGTCTCTAGAGGAAAATATTACAACTCAATTAATGATATTTATCTGTCAAAAATATTAAGTAACTTTTATTAATTTTGGAGAAATAATAAGAGAAATGAAAATCTTGGATTATGTTATGATTTTTGTTGATAGATATATCATTTATGATGATTTTTGAACTGAAATATTATTACTCGAATATTTTTAATAACATTTTTAATATAAAAATAAATTTTCATCATATTACTTTTTTAGTAAAATGATAAGTGTAAAAAATTTTGTGCTAAAATACTTCACAGTTTTCTTACATTCTTAAATAATTAACAATTCATTTCTTGTTTGAACGTTGTTTTACTTACTAATGTACATTAATAAACTACAGAGTCATCTTCAACAATAGTTTATTACATTGAATGGCTTAAATGAATAATGGTACCTACAAGGTTGAATTTTTAATTTGTAGGATGAACTGTTTCCGGTCGCCAGATAATTTATTTAAGTTAATTATTGTAAATGTGTGCGTACTTTAACATAGTTTACGTTAAATAAAAATAAATTTTAAGTAAACTGTAGTATTTAATTATAGATGCAAAAAATGTAAACAGCAAAATTTACGTATAATTAAATACAAAGTGATTCATTATGAACAAGACACTCATTTTCTTGGAATCTATTAAATTTTTTTTGTGAATAGGAATTTTTTTTGTTTAATAAACTTTTTAATAAACATAATATGAAAAATATCTAATAAAAAATTATTAAAATGTTAAATCATTTTTTCACCTCTTCGGAGTAAAAACCCTAAACATAAATTTTTTAAATAGAAACTCCTATTTTTATTTTGATAATACGATGGTAAAACAATTGCAATCAATGTTGTTCTTGAAATAATTTTTATTCGATTCACCGTTCATCTGTTTTTGCATAAAGTAGAGCCATTTATTAATTATATTACTTATTTTATTTATTGTTATGCCAATGCTTATCTGAGTTGCGGATTCAGTTAGCATAGACAGTGGGGGTGGTTTATATATTAGTTTATACATTGGCATTTGTAAAGGGGGGATAAAGGGGTAACATCTTTTATAAGTTTTGATCTAGAGAATATTTTGTGGTACTTTTTTTTTTATAAATAGCTTTTACATTTTCGAGTAGATACAATTTGTGATCTTTTAAAGTATCATTGAAAAAAATCGGTCAGTGAGAGCTGAGAAAAAGTGGCAACAGACACAAATACCTTCTCAGTTTCGCATCGAAGCTGAAAATTAAAAGACATAAATGAATGCATTAATTTTAATAGAAATTTTACTTTTAATATTAATTTTTATTAAATGGTATGTACCCTGGGCGTTTAAACTGTTAATGGTTTTTCTAATACAAAGTGATTTTTTCTTTTTTTTACCTAAGTCAAATTAGTTGGAAATTTGTTGGTAAACACTAAGCAGTAATTGTTATAAAATAATTGTAGACTTATATATATATATTACTAGTTTAGGTAAATGTTTACACTTTTATTTTGTATGTAGAGTGTAAATATACAAATGCAAGTTAAAAAATGTAATATATGACGTATAAAGCAATGGATAAAGTGTATCAAAATCTTAGAAAAATAATTAAAAATTAAGTTACATTCGTTAAAATTTTAAATATATTTATTCATGATAATGATTATGAAAGTAGTGTCCACATGTGATGTTGAGTGTTATGTGCATTATAATTTTAATTTAAATTAAATGAACTATATATAAGGATAATATAAAAATATTTTCATTCAAATAAGACTTCTTGGAATTGATCTGCGTCAGTCGTTGTGCATGTTAAAGTATTTGCATCAGGTTTTCAAATGACGTATTTATTTTGTGTTGTTAAGCCAAACGGATTCCTTTACTGTTTGGGCATTCGCCATTTAATTTGACCGTCAATTCTATAAAAATAAATCAATATTTTATTAAAAAATCATAAATTACTGACCAAGAGGCAATAAATTAATATTACAGTTTTTAAAGACTAAAATAATATTCATTTTATACAATATAGCTATCTTCCTCTATATTTACCTTGGCTTATAAACATGTATAAAGTAAGAAACAAATGATATAAAATATAATGAATAAAGTATTAAATATTAGAATTGATCTGTAAAATGATTTTAATAAAAATGTTCAATTTTTTATATATATATATATATATATATATTAATGTCAGTAAATTTTTAATTAAACTTGTGATGATTTATCTAAAACTATTAATGTATATAGTTTTTGAAATGTGATTAATAAATAAATATTTATAAAAACAAATACATCAAATCAAATAGTTATTTATTTTCATTTTTAAACTATTAAGTTTTAAAATTATTTGAATATAATTTTGCGAATCAAATTATATTTACTTCAAATTTTATGTTATTATAGGTAGTTTAATTTTAATGAATTGTGGTTTAAATTAAAAGATTGAAGATGGCGTAAATCAACCATGATTAAAGCTTAATGAGTTTTAGTATTCTCAATATTTTATATTCTTTAATCTTTTGTTAAAAATCTAAATATTTTTTCCACCGTCGAAATTCGTTAATTTTTAATTGTAACAAATTACATTTATAATTAAGTTTAAAGTCCTATAGTTTTTAATGAATTTGACCTATTAAAATTAGATGGATGTAATTTAGTATTAAATATTTAAATAAATGTACGCCGAGTACTTAAAACTATTACAACTTGTATAGTGTACATTAAATTAAGTTAGTAGCCACATAGATTTTAACACTATTTATGTAAATGTATTAAATCATGTTTAAAGCGTTGTTTATATACAAGTAAACTGTAAAATGTATTGCCTTATGAAAGGTATTAGCTAAAATTACTTCAGAAGACCCTACCACAAGTACACCTACCACACACTTTTAGTTGGTCAGTTTTATCAAGAGTTAGCAAATGTAATTATTTCCATACTAGTCATTAATAACTACAGCTAAATTTGCCGAACCTTCATTTTCTTTAATCTTACTGTGTTTTTAAGTGTGTTCCAATGATTTTATATGCGAAATTTTAATGGAATAATTATGAAAATTAGGTACTGCTTCATAAATGCTCTTGTAATTTGGTTCAAAGTTTCAAATATATTATATGTATGTTTAAAATGATAATTAGAGAATTTTTAATAAATTTTGTATATTATATTGTGTTTGTAAACGCAGACAAAGAGCTTTTATTTATCAATATAACATCTAACTAGTTTGTTAGTCATTTATAAATGATTCTATTCTCTGAGAATGTTTAAACGTATCGTATAATAATAATTTTATTAAAATGTGGGAAACCGCCAATATTAATATTAACTCATTTATCCTTTGTGTAACAAATATATTAATATTCGCGGAGGTATGGAAAGACAAATTATATACGTATTTTGGTTCGGTTGTGCGAGATTTATATTCGGTTGATAAATAGTTTAGAACTGTTTAATTTTATTTTGAAAAAATTGGTTTTTTAACCGTTTGACAAATACAAATCGGACTAATTTATTGAATCTTATTTATTTGGTGGCTAATGAGAATAGAATTAAGTACGTAATTTGAACGATCAACTTATTAATCATACTATCAACAGTTAATATAGAATATAAAATGATGAAATAAAAATATTAATTGTTTAAAATGCGATAGAAGTTAGTAAAGAAAACAAAAATTAGTTAAAATTATTATTTACTGCGAATAAAAATCGATAGATAATATTTGATTACATACCGTTTTCAAAAAAAAAAAAAAATATTTGGAAACGATTAGTTTATTAAAATGCATAAAACTCATGAAATAGGTCTTAATAAAAAAAAAAGTTGCTGTGTAAGTGATATGTATATATATTAAACGGGTTGATGTGAGGTTTAATTAAAATTTTTTGATTAAATAGGTGTTTGATGACTTAAAAAGGTCATGCGGCCATTATAGGTTGAGCTCATCGGGTGCATTATTCATTATATATAACCATTATGAATTTAAGTTGTAAAATATATTTATAGATCAAGCCTGATGCCAAGGGATGCTACTCGGAAACCATAGACGCTGCATTGGATATTTTAAAAAGCTGTCTATCCCTTGTATTGTAATGAAAAAACTAAAAATCAATCAATGTTTTATCCTCATAATTAAAATTAAATTCTATTATTTTAATTCTTATGCGATGCATATTTTATTCAAGTACATTACATACACTATACTTAGGTATATTCTTTTTAATTATACAAAGTACATTTTTTTCTACTCTCATTTATACAAATATGCAATATATGTACATTTATTTAAAATATTTTATATTTAAGACAAAATGTGGTTAAGTAAATGGTTAAGTAATGTGGTTTCATATCCTATAAAAAGCACTTTCTAATTAAAACAAAATTTAGATTGAAATGCTAATTTCATACAAATGAGGTGTTCAAAAGCTAAGCCGATTAACTCAATATTTTTTTAAAAACTTTTTATTTCAAAAGTAATTACTTATTTATGAAATAAAAATTAATAAATTGTAGCTAATAATATTTAAAATTAAAATTATTCATTTAAAACATAAAAAAAAATTATTAAAAAGTATGTGGATACGTATTTCAGGAACAATATTTCTATTATCAATGCTAACATATCAGTATGTGTTGATAATGGTGAAGTTGTTCCTGAAATACTTATCAATGAGTTTTTAGTAATTTTTTTTATGGTTTTTTGAGTCAAACATTTTTTAGTTTTAAATTAATAATTTTCATTTTAAATAATCATTTATTTAATCCAACCATGCTATTATTACAAAAAAGTGGTGTGTGTTAATTGGCTTAGCTGAGTGTCTCAAATATTCTTCGGCTTAAAGATCAATTAACGATAGACTTATAAATGAACATACTAGAAATTATAGACCTTCTATGTGTATTATAATGAAACTAAAATATAGTGACCAGCTGATATTATGAGTGATCAAATATAAATTTAATTCACAATAATTTTTTTTTTTTTTATGATTATTTTAAAACTAAATATTTTGATTTTGAATCATATAGTGACAGGCCCGAATTATCGGATATATTAGGGCCCAGTTTTCATATTTTTTAACGAGCTCCAAGATTTTTTTTTTTTAATAAAAATTGTAAATAATATTTATATAACTAAATGATAGAAAAATCTGAAGTCAGGTTCGAAATCGGCATCGAATTTTCTTATAAAATTCATACAAAAATTGTAAATAAGAAAATGGCTGTTGTACTGTGTAATTAGTCACCGTATACTTAAGAACTCAGGTGATATATTCATTATTAATTTCCATAATAATCAGAAAATTGGCCATATTCATCTTATTTTTTAATTGGAATATGGACTTATAGTGTTAAAAAATGTTTCATTAAGTGATATATGTCTCCTAATAATATAAAGTATTTCAAAATTATTTGATGCCCATTAATATCAATACAACGATAAGACATCATTCGATAAGAAAAGTTTGTAATAACAATGGGTAATTTGCTAATAATAGAATAACACAAATTTACGTATTTATATTTCTTATAACTATCGAATACGGGCACAATGTAATTCTTTAGAGACATGACGTTTGATAGGAAGTCAAAACTTTCTATTAAAGAGGCTAGAGTTGTAAACTAAACTCATTTAATTAATCTGAACTATAACTTACAAAACAACATCCAAAAAAAAAAAATTAGTGCGAACGAAAAATAAACTTGGAGACATTTTTAGTAAGAATGATACAATAACAACAACCAAAGTTTGAAAATTTACGATTACACAAATAGTGTTTATTAGATTTTTATTTACATAAAAACAATTTAAATATTTAAATTATAGAAACTAAATGTAGGCTTAAGATAATGTTGCGTTAATGTTTATTATAAAAATAACTTAAGTTATTAAAGTGTAATGTTTATGCAACTTGAGCTCATTGTATTACTTGGAAATGAGGCGTAAACAGAATGATTTTTTTAACGCTATCCACTCGATTTTTCCAAAAATTATAAAAACATTGAGAATACTTTTCTAAATATTTTTAGATTCATGTATTTCTTAATTTATCAATTATTTAGTAATTTTTATGTCCATTCATTATTCATTATAAGCGTGTAAACTTATTTTTTTAATAGCAACATTTATACTTTAGTAGCGTATCTATAAAACAATCTAATTAAAAAACGACTGGTTGATAACAACTTTTGGCTCTTCACTTAAGAAGTTATCAAACAGTCTTTTTCTTAATTACATTATTATATTTAATATAAGCTACAAATTATGATTATATTTAAACAAAATTACTTAATTTATATAATAAATTTGCATCTCTATAAAGAGTAATGAATAGTTAGAAAAATAATCACAATTCTTTTAAGAGAAATCGAGTGGTTAAAGTAAAAAATATCACCTTAATTAACACATAATGTGATCTTTGCTCATAACATTAAGGTTTTTTATTTATTGAAATACTTTAAAACAATATGGAAGGTGAATTATTATTTATGACTAACAAAACACTATTTATTTTACTATTTTATTTTTTTTTCGGTAAAATTAATAAGACCCCATTAAACATTTTGGTCCATTTTCAATGTTATATATTATAATAAATGACTCTTAGCAGTTATAACTGCGAAAAGTATGTATGATGTATTTTTACTTTTGAACAAGCCCTAATGATCATTTTAATAAAATATAAATTATGATACAGTTCTAATAAGCGTGAAGCGAAAATTTAGCAAAATTTCTTATGATAAATCTAAACTTCGATGTTAAGGTTTTAAGAAAGTTTTAAATATAAAATATAAATAATTTTAATTTATTTTTCGCGCATCGGCTACTGAAGTTTATTTTGTTAGATAACTCGTGCATTCTACTCAAAGAAATAAATTAAAAGGATCTCAACCTTTAGTGAAAAAGCAAACATGAAATATATTCAAAAATTTTTGTGCTTAAATATTACGCTAATGGAACGAACGCAAATTATTTTTAACATTTTATTTAATTTGCACGATAAGAATAAATAAAAATAATATTTATTTACAGTATATAGATTTTATATATGTATTAAATATAGGAACTATATATTATTATCCTGAAAAATATATACTGACTACGTGGTTGTTAACTCTTAAAATTTATTTTTATCTATTAGAAAATTATAATAAATATCCTCGCCTTTTATTAAGTATTATTGTATTATGATTAATACTGCACGGTGTTTAAAAAATCATGTTTATAGATTAAAAACACATTTTTATATAATTTATATAACTATTACCTACTAAAGAGTCAATTGATATTTCCCGCTCGAATTATTTATGATAAAATAATTATTTACATGTGTTTTTTATAGTGGTCGTATTACTTTTGAAATGTATAATTCAAGAAAAAAGTACTTTTTATTTTAATAATTTTTTTTTTTCATGTAGAATACTTTAAAATTATGTTTGGTGACTGTTAATAAATTATGTTTATGTTGCCCCTGAGTTTTACCAGATGGGTGATCATGTAAATAACCTTGAATAATGTATAGGAAATTGATGATTTTATGTTCTAATTTCCTGTGTTGATTAATTTTATTATAATTATATATCCTTCCCTTACAACTCACTAACTTATAAGATTGAGTCACGTGACCCCGAAGTCAAGAGGCACTTGGTAAAATCCATAGTTTCACATACGACCATTTCCTTTGTTTATAAAATATACTTGATTGTTATGTATTAAAATTGCACAATAAAAACTCTTATTTCAGTTAGTATCATCCGAATGGATAATTATTTATGAATTCTATAGAAAACTATAAAAACNACGATTACACAAATAGTGTTTATTAGATTTTTATTTACATAAAAACAATTTAAATATTTAAATTATAGAAACTAAATGTAGGCTTAAGATAATGTTGCGTTAATGTTTATTATAAAAATAACTTAAGTTATTAAAGTGTAATGTTTATGCAACTTGAGCTCATTGTATTACTTGGAAATGAGGCGTAAACAGAATGATTTTTTTAACGCTATCCACTCGATTTTTCCAAAAATTATAAAAACATTGAGAATACTTTTCTAAATATTTTTAGATTCATGTATTTCTTAATTTATCAATTATTTAGTAATTTTTATGTCCATTCCTTATTCATTATAAGTGTGTAAACTTATTTTTTTAATAGCAACATTTATACTTTAGTAGCGTATCTATAAAACAATCTAATTAAAAAACGACTGGTTGATAACAACTTTTGGCTCTTCACTTAAGAAGTTATCAAACAGTCTTTTTCTTAATTACATTATTATATTTAATATAAGCTACAAATTATGATTATATTTAAACAAAATTACTTAATTTATATAATAAATTTGCATCTCTATAAAGAGTAATGAATAGTTAGAAAAATAATCACAATTCTTTTAAGAGAAATCGAGTGGTTAAAGTAAAAAATATCACCTTAATTAACACATAATGTGATCTTTGCTCATAACATTAAGGTTTTTTATTTATTGAAATACTTTAAAACAATATGGAAGGTGAATTATTATTTATGACTAACAAAACACTATTTATTTTACTATTTTATTTTTTTTTCGGTAAAATTAATAAGACCCCATTAAACATTTTGGTCCATTTTCAATGTTATATATTATAATAAATGACTCTTAGCAGTTATAACTGCGAAAAGTATGTATGATGTATTTTTACTTTTGAACAAGCCCTAATGATCATTTTAATAAAATATAAATTATGATACAGTTCTAATAAGCGTGAAGCGAAAATTTAGCAAAATTTCTTATGATAAATCTAAACTTCGATGTTAAGGTTTTAAGAAAGTTTTAAATATAAAATATAAATAATTTTAATTTATTTTTCGCGCATCGGCTACTGAAGTTTATTTTGTTAGATAACTCGTGCATTCTACTCAAAGAAATAAATTAAAAGGATCTCAACCTTTAGTGAAAAAGCAAACATGAAATATATTCAAAATTTTTTGTGCTTAAATATTACGCTAATGGAACGAACGCAAATTATTTTTAACATTTTATTTAATTTGCACGATAAGAATAAATAAAAATAATATTTATTTACAGTATATAGATTTTATATATGTATTAAATATAGGAACTATATATTATTATCCTGAAAAATATATACTGACTACGTGGTTGTTAACTCTTAAAATTTATTTTTATCTATTAGAAAATTATAATAAATATCCTCGCCTTTTATTAAGTATTATTGTATTATGATTAATACTGCACGGTGTTTAAAAAATCATGTTTATAGATTAAAAACACATTTTTATATAATTTATATAACTATTACCTACTAAAGAGTCAATTGATATTTCCCGCTCGAATTATTTATGATAAAATAATTATTTACATGTGTTTTTTATAGTGGTCGTATTACTTTTGAAATGTATAATTCAAGAAAAAAGTACTTTTTATTTTAATAATTTTTTTTTTTCATGTAGAATACTTTAAAATTATGTTTGGTGACTGTTAATAAATTATGTTTATGTTGCCCCTGAGTTTTACCAGATGGGTGATCATGTAAATAACCTTGAATAATGTATAGGAAATTGATGATTTTATGTTCTAATTTCCTGTGTTGATTAATTTTATTATAATTATATATCCTTCCCTTACAACTCACTAACTTATAAGATTAAGTCACGTGACCCCGAAGTCAAGAGGCACTTGGTAAAATCCATAGTTTCACATACGACCATTTTCTTTGTTTATAAAATATACTTGATTGTTATGTATTAAAATTGCACAATAAAAACTCTTATTTCAGTTAGTATCATCCGAATGGATAATTATTTATGAATTCTATAGAAAACTATAAAAACTTATTTTTCATACTGTACAAGAATATAAAATACGTGCTTTTTAATAAAAGAGATGTTTGGGTTACTTAAATGATTTAACAATTCATTTAAGATAAAATTTTTGGAAATATAACATTTAAAAATAGAGAAATTTTATGTTAACAATACAAAGAATTAAAATTGCTTATTAAGTACCTATTTTAATTTGCGGGAAAAATTACTGAACTATCGTGCCAAACATTTCTCTTTTAAACTTTTATGGTAATAATACAAAACCGTTGAAAATATAATTGATAGAAAAAGATATATTAAACAATAAATAGAAAAAAATGATTTTATTAGATGAACGCCTCACATTAAATTTTACTTAAGGTTTTTTTTATATAACTATAATTGTTATTTTTATTTAATAAATCCTATCATACTAAGTTAAACACTTACTTGTTTCGTGTTCACAGTTATATTTATCCAGTACACATTTGTTGCCAAAACTTAAGTTTATTTTATCACCATCAGATCCACAAATTGGTTTGTAATCAGTTTTGCAGA